TCTTCCCCGGCTAACGACCGGCTGGCGCTCCTACTATGCGCCTTACTTCCTTATTTCCTTCCTTTCTTCCTTCCTTCCTTCTATCCTCTTTCTTTACGCACAGGAAGTACTACGACTCCCTTATAAACACACACACGCGCACGCGGACGAGCGCACACTTATAGACACCGTCGCCTCTGTACGTCGTTCGTTCTTGTCGTCGTCGTTATTGTCCCCGTCGTTGCTGTCGTCGATGTTGTCCCCGTCGTTGCTGTTGTCGTTGCCGTTGTCTCTATCGTTGATGTTGTCTTCGCCGTTACCCTTGTAGTATTATTAATATTGTAATAATGGCGATAGTAGTAGTAGTAGTAGTAGTAGTAGTATTAGTAGTAGTAGTAGTAGTAGTAGTAATAGTAGTAGCAATAGTAGTAGGAGTAGGAGTAGGAGTAATAGTAGTAGTAGTAATTGTGTGGTAGTGGAAGTTATAGCGGTAGTGGTAGTGGTAGTGGTAGTGGTAGTGGTAGTAGTAATAGTAGTTGTAGTGACGGTGGTGGTGTTAGTAGTGGTCGTGTGATAGACTCGTAGCGGTCTACTCGCGCTCCTGGCCCCGGAGACGAGTATACGAGGCGCGTGTGCGGCCGGCGATATTCAACACTCGTGACACAACACTTTTCGAGCAGTCTCCGTCCGTATCTTTCCGGCTGGCGAACGACGCGGACGGGGCGCACACTACTTCCTCTCCTCCGGTGTCGTTTCTCGCTCGCGCGCAGCCGGGCTGCGTGTTGGAGGGCTGTGGGGAGGAGGAGGAGGAGGAGGAGGAGGAGGAGGAGGAGGAGGCGGAGGAGGAGGCGGCAGCGGCAGCGGCGGCGGCGGGGCGGGAGTCTCTGCGTCTCGCTTCAGCTCGAGCTTCTGGGGACCGGTCGGCTCGTGCGCGCGTCTCTGGACTCTCCGCTCCGATAGTCGACCCGACACTGGCGGCCTACCAGGTCAGAATGCCGGTTGACGAGTCCCGACACCGACAGCCGCCGCCGGCCTCCTGTGCCGCCGCCGTAGCCGCCGTAGCCGCAGCCGCAGCCGCCGTAACAGAGTGGGGGATCACCAAAACGTGTGCGGCCCTCGCCGGCAGATCGCGCGGCCTCCTCCCTGGCCTCCCTCTCGGACCTCACGGATTATGGTGGGGGCCGACGCACTCCCGGTACCGGGAGTCCTGGCAATCCCGGATCCCGGGACCCGGTTATTGTGCCGGTGAACGTCCATTGAGAGACGTTCGTCGTCCATCCTTACCGATTCTTCTATGCTTCCATGAAATGAAGTGGCAATGAGAAGATGAAGGAAGTTTATGTGATTAACGACTGTTCCTGTGGTCCTTACCGACCATAGCGCGCATAGGTCGGATTTAATCCCTTTACGCGGACTGCAGTCTATCAAATTGCCACGACTCTTGCCCTTATCGTACATTTGTTTAATTTGTTTTTCTTTTGATTATGTCTCAACCCACGCGCAATTCGGCGATCGTTTTAAATGGGAACGAATACATCGTGGGAGGAGGAGGAGTTTTTTGTCTAAAGCGTCAAGGCAGCGCGGCTTATCTCGAATAATTCCGATCCGAAATATCTGTGGCCGTTGGGGTTGATCGCAATTTTACAGCTAGACCCGCAATTACAACATCAAACAACGAGATTAATTGGGTAAAATGCGCGAAATGTCCGAAGGAAAATTGATGATAAGACAAGCCGATGCGATGCGTCAGCGATGCCGCTTGGACGGGGCGAGCGAGCGAAAAAATTATTTCAAATATAGAGAGACACCAATATAAAGGGATGCGAACGAATGTAAATTTATGTTTAACGATATTTTTATTCAAGCCCTGAGCCCTGAATTATCTCGGCACGTTAATAGTTTTGCGTGTAGAATGATCCAATGCATTCTCAACGCATTCAATTCGTATTAACTCGTACATATGTGGAGAACATATTAGTAGCCATTACTCTACACTTTAACGCATCGGCGTCATATTCTTTTTCACATGTAATTTTTCGATTGCACGTGTAACTATTTTTCCCTAATAAAATTTACATGTAACCCACGAAAATTACTTGGTAATTTATGGTTCTTCAAAAACTTCTCGCCCAATGAACAGCAGCCAACGATTATGTAATAACATTAATTACGAGCATTGGGCTGTTTGTAAAAGAAAAAGGAAAAAAATTAAATAAATAATAATAAATGAAATCAACAACAACAACAAAACAAAAAAAAAACAACAAAAAAACAACAACAAAAAAACAAAAGAGAGAGAGAGAGAGAGAGAGAGAGAGAGAGAAAATGAAGAGAAAAATAATACATTGTAAATTTGTAAGCGATAAGCATCAAAACTTTCGTTTGCATTCCTCAAAAAAGAACTGCTCGCATGTAGCGCCGACACGTGACGTAAAATTTGAGGTTAAACGATTAATAGAATCTTTTTATTAGTTGTCATATAAAAATAACCTAATTTTGTAAGACGGCTAGAAGCCAAGGATGTTCCATATTTTTCGTATTTTGCGTCTAGGTATATTCGAGCCAATCCATTACCGCTCATTTGAAGAAAAAAAAAAAATCAACGTACGGCAAATGACTGTTAAATCGCATTTAAAAATGCATTGCAACAGAATTGAAGAAAATTAAAGTATTCATACATAGTTAATATCGTGCGCTCGACAGGTTATGCAACGTGCAAATAATACATAAATTAATGTTTTCGGTCTTTGATCCGCGGTACTCGTACATTAAACGGGGCCGCAATTGAGAAATAATTTTTAAAGGTTGAGTAACATTGTAATTTCGTACAACTTTGCCCAGCGAGTATTAAAAATAATATTTATTGTGAATCCAGAGTCAATAATAAAGCCTACTACTATTTATAAATTCACGAGTATAAATGATAAGCCCACACTGGCAATATGGAATGCGCGAGCGAGTATGTGCGCAAGTGTGCGTGCGTCCGAGCGCCTAATGGTTGATGCCGGTGTAATATTGGATTCCGCGGACGATTATTATCACACATGAATGAGTTATTATACGAAAGCGTTCGACTGTCGATTGCACTCGAATGGTGGAATATTAGAGCGAGGCTTGGCGAGCGACTGGTGCTTTATTCGCAAGTCTATAAATACAATGTCGTCGGGAATATTTTATTCGCCCGGATGGTAGGTGCGCGATGGTCATCCGCGTAATCGGTCCATTACGTTGCGTGCGCACTCATCGCCTTGGATCAGCGACCCAGTCGCTCGGGCGACGAGGTATCTCGGTGAAGAGGTTCGGGACCGGTGGGTCCGCGTGGCGCTGCTGGCCAACGGTTATACGGCACTGAGCCACCGAGGCGCCCAACAAATATTCGGTCGAGTTCGGTCACCGTCGCTGTCTGTCGCATTCCCTCGGTTCCTATCGTTCGCGCGCGCGCGAACCCGACGCAACACGCAGCACGCATCATCGCGCATCGCGCACACGCGCCCGCGCCCGCGCCCCTTCATGTATCGAGGCAAAAAATCGTTGCACGCGCCGAAGGATCAGAGAAATGTCGCGAGATAAAGCGCTGACTTGGGAGGACGGGGAGGGCGAGGAGTAAGCCTACGATCAGCGTACTTTCAATAATTAATTTTTGTTATCTCGAGTGCGACCGTGATCGTGGAGCCATTGAGTCCTGGAATTCCGGGCGGAGGCAGCTTGTGTTTTTCATTTCGACTTTATCCGCCCGCTGCAATGACAATATTGTATTTTCACTTCCTTGTTTGAGATTATCGAGGCGATAATTATTGTGCAGCGATCCCAGCAAACGATGTATCACTTAGGCTCGCCCATGCCATTCTTTATCTTGTAATTATTAAGAGGTTTAAGAAGTCATTCTTTGCTTTACTTGCAGTGAAATAATACGGGTGTACGCTATTAAAATATTGACAAACTCTCTCTCTCTCTCTCTCTCTCTCTCTGTCCGCGCGCATGTACGATTGTGTGACCAAGAGAGGAAGTGTGAAAGTGAGCGAGAAAAAGAGAGAGAGAGAGAGAGTGAGAGAGAAAGTTGTCAATGCTTTAATAGCGTGCACCCGTATTAATGGACTTTGGATTTCCTTTTTACTATATTGCGATATGCATCTGCATATTTCACTTTTCAATTTTCAAAATGCTCGATAAGAACAACATTTAAGAAATCCCAAAACTTTAAGAAACCCAAGTTAATTGTTTTGCCGACGGCTGAAATTGACCGAAGAAACGTATATTAGTCGTCTCATTGAAACTACACTATTAAAATCAATGTAATAATGCTTGAAACTGTAAATTATATTAACATGAATTTATTACAATTATGATTTTAACAAAGGTCATGTGTTTTATTTTCTCGTCTTATATAGAAGTTCAAGAATAATAATAATTATTATTATTATAAAATTTGGTAAGATACTTAAAAACAGACATTAAAAACATACAAACGTATCGTATTAGTTATAATAGCTATACTGATTGTTTATAATTAAATACAATATATATATATTTATATATATATATATATAAATTAAATATAAATATAAAAAAAAATAATGATTATTTATTCGTATTGAAAGAATATATAATATTCAATTTACATACAAATTAATCATTTAATTTGGTAGTAACAGAATATAGAATCATTTGGAGTATGTTTAAATAATTAGCGATAGAGAAATTATTTCTATAGTTCTGAAAATCCCATTAAAATAAGCTTTTAATAGAACAATCTCAAATTAAATTATATTTTTTATGTTAAACTCTGCACACTTGTTTTTAATCGGACATACATAATTTACAAAACAATGCAATATACAAAACAATTTATTTGAAATTTGATAATTAATTGTTTCGTTATTGTTTGATAAGGAGTGTCTTTCGTTCGTCGAATACGTGCGCCGAATGCATGACTTTAATTATTAATTATTTCAACAATGTAAGACATACTTCTATATTTTTCACAATCATGAAAAATAC